CTTCTTCATTTCTGAAGAAGGGTCCAGGCCCGAAACGTCAGCCTTCCTGCTCCTTTGATGCTGCTTGGCCTGCTGTGTTCATCCAGCTCTACACCTTGTTATCTCAGATTCTCCAGCATCTGCAGTTCCTACTATCTCTGAAACAATTTGTTATCAGTCACTAGTTAAGCTAACACGTTAAACAAATTAGTTATGAGAGTGTGCTCAGCAGCTATGTACATACATCAACAAGCAAATGGTTGACTTCAAATCAGAAGGAGCCAAAATTAGACTAAAAATTACTTTTCACTAAAATAACTGATTTTTATTAGATTTAAGAGGAGCGAGAAACTATAAATAAAATCTAGAAATAGACTTCCCACTGCTGAACAATCAAACTAAAAAAGTAAATTGCTCAAATATGAGGAAATGTCTAAAGCTAACTTTTATTGCAAGCAGCTTGACAATCAAGTTCCATTCTCATTTAATGGAAAGCAATTTTAGATTATTAAAACAAAAACTGACCCTGAAACTAGACCCAGTGACCTTCGTTTCTAGAGAGCAAAAGAACACCTTACCTCCCTGGCATTTCACATATCTGTTTGTTGAGCCTGATGTCTTGAACTGTTCTGTAGCAGAGGCTCTGAGCTGATAACAAAGACATGTCCATAATTCTGAGCATATCTTGTTTAAATCATACAACTTCTCAAAATTTCCAGCCAGCAAAACACATCTATTGCAAACTTTTCTGAGCCCTATCCCACTGCAGGCTAATCTTTGTCTACCTCTGAACTCAGAGAGTTATAGAACTGGGATTTTATTGCTTCTTTCAGAGAAGAGTTCATGAATATTTCCTTTTGGCTCTCTGTATCCCTGGGGGTTCAGTGTGAAATTTAGCACAGTTGACTAAACAGGAGCCCTGTGGGAAGACAGAGATTTTTTAAAAGAGGTGGTGATAAAGAAAACGTGAAGAGGAAAGTTTAGGCACCATCTGCGACAAAACCCCAGGCCTTAGGGCAGAGTTGTTAAATGCAATTAATGAGGGCATTAGAGGCTTATTTGTCATTTAAAGAGAAAACGGGGGAGGTGGTAGTTCAGATAATCTCTTTTTGCTGCAAATACCTACAGAACTGATATACAAGGAGGCACATTTACATTCTGAACATCATTCTGTAATACCATTGGGCGACATACATTTCCCCACCTTTAAAGGGATTTATTCTTATAGTGTTGGAAAATCATTATAAAGACAACAGTTTTGTGGTAATCAGTTTGTGAATGGCATTGAGGTGCGTGGGAATGATTTTGAGGTGTATTGTGGCTTCACAAGTGACACAAAGTATGATTTTCACCACAACATTAAATTGGGTACATTCTAGCAAAATAGAGCGACAACATCTTGAACAAAGTTCTCATTTTTTGTTATATTCTAGGGCAAAATGGGACAGAGCAGCGCAGGAGATGAGAATACTGTTTCAATTATAATCATTGTTCTGCTAATAACTAATGCAGAATTCTACAGAAAAAGTCAGAGGGCAGATTTTAATTTTGAGCTCCAAAATCCAGTGTTACCGTAGTAAGGTACAATAATTGTACATCTAGCAGAAAGACGATGCTTTCATACCAAGATTTTGTGTGAGTTCTAATATCTGTTCAGACACATAGCCTGCCTGAACCCTGGTACCGAATAGCATTTCTGGTTAGAAGCCAGGCTTGGGGTAATCTACATCCTTCTATCCTAATTAAAATTCTAAATTGTTCTTTCCCACCTATCTCCATTAAGATGAATACTAGATGAATGTCAGAACAAAGAGTGCTCCTGCACATTGTTGAATTGAAAATGAAAGGGTCAAATACAAGGGGGCATAAGTTTAAAATGGAAGACAGGAGATTTCGACGGGATTTGAGAAAAAATGTTTTCATCTGGCAGGTAGTGGTGATATGGAATTCACTACCCAGGAAGGTAGTTGAGATGGGAAACCTAGCAACCTTTAAACAGTACTTGGATGAGCACTTTAAGTGGAGGGGAGGCAACGGCCTGATGGTATTATCGCTAGGCTGGTAATCCAGAGACCTAGATAACATTCTGGGGACCCAGATTCATATCCTGCCAAGGCAAATGGTGGAATTTGAATTCAATAAAAATATCTGGAATTATGAATCTACTGATGACCATGAATTCATTGTTGATTGTCAGGGGGAAAACCCATCTGGTTCACTAATGCCCTTTAGGGAAGGAAACTGCCATTCTTACCTGGTCTGCCCTACATGTGACTCCAGACCCACAGCAACATGGTTGACACTGAACTTCCCTCTGGGTAATTAGGGATGGGCAATAAATGCTGCCTGCTCAGTGATGTCCTCATCCTGTGAATTAATTTTTTAAAAAAGTAGCATTAAAGGCTATGGGCCTATTGTGGGAAAGTGAAACCAGTGTAGATAGTAGTATATTTTTGACAGGATGGGCTGCAGGGCTTCTTCTGTACTGTATGATTCTATGAAAGAAACTACATTTATGTAGTGAGGTAGTGAGTTTCACAACCTCAGAATACCTTCACTTAACCATCAATCACTGTTGTAACACAGGGAACACACAGTCAATTTGTACACAGCAAGATCCCACAGACATCATCAATGTTCTTCAAATAGCGTCCATTTGTTCTTTTCCATCAACATGACAGGGACAATCAATATTGCAACGCCACCACAGCTAGTTCATATTAGAAGTAGGGCTTCTGCCTAGAAATTTCAGCTTCAGAGACGAGCATGCTACCACTGAACCAAAGCCAAACTAACTATTGCTTCCACTCCTTCTCCCGGTCTGATAATAGCGTGCCTAATATTTGCAAAAAGCTTTTGTGTCTTGCCCTGTCTCAACATAAGTGCAATGAACCTCAAGCATTGTAATAGATCAGGCAGTCTGTCAGATACAGCTTTAGGTCAGAAGTCACACAACACCAGGTTATAGTCCAACAGCGTTATTTGAAATCACAAACTTTTGTAGCGCTGCTCCTTCACCAGGTGAAGGCACAGCGCTCTGAAAGCTTGCGATTTCAAATAAACCTGTTGGACTACAACTGGTGTCATGTGACTTCTGACCTTGTCCACCCCAGTCCAACACCGGCATCTCCACATCAAAGATACAGCTTTAACACAAGGCCATTAAACAGGAATGACCTTCTCTTTGTGAGACGTGCCTATGATGTAATTTCAGAATCTCAGCTGGATCCCTGGATTGTTTACACAGGATCGTTGAAAAGTATTTAAACGTCTCATTCCTTGAAATCCAACATCAAAACAGCCTCCAAAGAGTCTAAACAATCATCATCCCCTAATCTGAACCCTCTGGAACCCTTGCTGAGCAACAGTTTATAAACCTCATTATGTATCCTATGTTAAAATAGAGAATACACATCTTAAGTACTTAATTTGCCAGGGCAGCGTAAACTGTCTGTTTGTTAATTCTCAATGCAAAATATGCCTCACATATTGATAAAGAGCATTAATGCCAGTGAGACCCATACATGTGGCAACCAGGTTAACTACAGTTGAGACTGAATGTGTAATTCAGTCCTTGAGTGGGGAATTAAAGGGAGACTCTCCCAAATACCTATGTGAGAATGAGATCTGCTTCCAAACTGTCACATGCCCAACCTGAAAACAAGCTAATATTCCTCACCACTCAATGTTACATAACTTCCATTGTTTGTGGCAAAAAGCTACTATATGCTCCCTGACTTTTTAACTAAATCATTAATATAGATTGTGAAGGCTAGATCCCAGCACTGAGCATTGTTGCACAGCCTGGAAATTTGAAAATCCTTCTTTATCCTGATTCTCTGCCGGCTGTCTGTTAACAATCCACCATCCTTGCTAATAACTTGCCCCATCACTACCTTGTATGCTAACCATTTGGGTGGCATCTTATTGAATGACTTTTGCAAATTCATATATACTACATATACTGGTTCACTTGTACATTCTGTACCCTCAAAAAACTCTAATAAATATATCGAACATCGCTATCTATTCATAAAACTATGTGGGAGCGAATTACTGCAAATGCTGGAAACTGTATTGAAAAACAAAAAAATACTGGAGATCACAACGGGTCAGGCAGCATCTATGGAGAGAAAGCAAGCTAACACTCCATGAAGAGTCATCTAGACTCGAAACATTAGCTTGCTTTCTCTCCATGGATGCTGCCTGACCCACTGTGATCTCCAGCAATTTTTGTTTTCAATTCATAAAACCATGTTGGACCTGTCTGATCATATTATGACTCTATAACTACATTTTTAAGACCATCTTAGATTTAGGGGTGAGGTGATGGCGTAGTGATATTATCACTGGGTTGTTAATCTAGAGACTCAGGTAATGGTCTGGTACCCATGTTCAAATCCTACCACAGCAGATGGTGGCATTTGAATTCAATGAAAATGCGGAATTAAGAGACTAATGATTCCTTCTTGATTTGAGGGGTAAAAAAAACCCATCTGCTTCACTCATGTCCTTTAAAAAAGGAAACTGCAGTCTTTACTTGGTCCTACATGTGACTCAAGACCCACAACAATACGATTGACTCTTAACTACCTTCTGGAATGGGCAATAAATGCTGCTATAGCCAGTGATGCCTTCATCCCAAATGAATAGTAAAAATGATTCTAACATCCTGGCAGCTGCTGGCAGGTTAACTAGCTTACAGTTCCCTGTTTTTCCTCAGTCCTTTTGTGAATAGCAGTGTCACATTTGATCAAGTCACAACCGCTGAGATCATTCTAGAATTTGGACAATTTTTGGAAAACTATATCCAGTGCCTCCACCAACTCTGCAGTTGCTTCTTTTTTTAAAACCATAAGTACTGGGAAATTTTGGGGGTTTTTTTGTCCCTTAAGTTTCTCTAATATTTCTTTCTTTACTTATATAAATGTTCTGACTCTTTTGGTCCTTCAGTCACACCGTATTTCTGGAATGTAACTGGTGGCTTCTGCTGTGGATACAGACACAAAATATTCATTCAACATTGTTCCCAGTTCCTCAAACTGCATGATAATTTGTCTGTTTGTTTTTAAAGTCCAATGTTTACTTTACCTACACATTTTATAATCTGTTTTTATCCACCTGATTAACTTGCTCTCATATTCTACTTTTACTCCTTTCATAGAGTCACAGAGTCATAGAGATATGCAGCATGGAAACAGATCCTTCAGTCCAACTCATCCATGCCAACTAGATATCCTAAATTTATCCTGTTCCCTTTTCCAGGATTTGGCCCATATCCCTCTAAACCTTCCTATTCATATATCCATCCAGATGCCTTTTAAACATTGTAATTGTAACAGCCTCCACCACTTATGCTGGCAGCTCATTCCATACACGCACCATCCTCAGTGTGAAAAAGTTGTCCCTTAGATTCCTTTTTAAATCTTTCCCCTCTCATCTTAAACATATGTCCTCTAGTTTTGGACTCCCCCAGCCCTGGGAAAAGACCTTGACTATTTACCCTATCCATGCCCCTCATGATTTTGTAAACCTCTGTGAGGTCACACCTCAGCCTTTGATGCTCCAGGAAAAATAGCCCCAGCCTAT